ACTTTCGGAAAGGAGCTTAAATGTAATATGTATTAATGTATATTTCATGTAATATGCTTAAATGTAATTAAAAATATGAACTTTTAAATCAAATCCAAAAATTGTAATTATTGAAGTGCAGTGTATTGGAAAACATACCTGAAGCATTTTAAACCAATTGAGTCCTTTTTAAGGCTAGCAATTATTGTTTCTTATATTTTCAATGTTTACAAGTAAAACTGCTATGTTTTCTCTATTGTTGCATGTAGGCGGCTTTGATAAACAGGAAGAACTTCTGTTAGTATAGATAATTATAATTACGATCTTTACATTGCATTCGATTCAGTTTGTTATATTTGTTTTTATTTCGTTGTTAGGAACAACGTTTTAAGACCCATAAGAGTTTGTAAATTATGAACTTTTACTGGGACATATCCGTTCGGTTACACACTCATTCTTTGATTCTGAGGATTGCATAACGAGCTCATTGAAAGTCACTCGACGAAATATAAACTAGCCTTAACTCAGCATCTTCGAGCGATCAAATATTTTAGCGCTGAGAAATACAAACTTGTAGCCAACTTCTGATATTTTACACTTCTAGAGCAAAATAACGGGACATGTTTTTCCTTGAACCTAGACCTGATCGTAATGGGACCAGATGTGTTTTTTATGTTCCCATACATTTCTAGTCACTTAAATCAAACCCGGCGCAGAACATTGCCAAAGGGAAATATAAAATTAATTTCAGCACTTTAGTAAAATTTAAAAGCTGCCTTTATATTGTAAGATCTATCTCTACTTTTCCACATACACTAACTTAGATCCTACAACGAACCTAGCGAATTCTCGCACAGGAGTGAATTAAATACCAGCACAGAAGAAGTGTGCAAAATAACCCTTTATTAAATCAAACTAATTTAACAGGAAGCACGGACTTCGTGCGTTACAAAACACCGTTCACCTGCGGCGGTGACTAAACGTAGATTAGAATAAAAATCAAATCTGAAAAAATAAATGAGTGCAAGAACGCACTTCAAAATTACTCCTAAGAGATGGACTCTCAGAGATCTAACCGGCGTGATACTAAACTGATAAGCCCAAGAGGCTTACTAGCGTGATCGCGAAATAACAACGAAACGTGCGTTAGACTAGCGAAACACGCTCTAAATAAACCGAGATAATCACACGTTTAAATAGCACTTCACTTAACTTTAAATTTACATCCTGGCGAGAGACGTGAGGGGAAGTTGAGAACAGGAAAACTTAAAATAAATTTATTATGCAAAATAAGAAAAACCCTACAATATAAATGTATTAGTAAATCCGATAGGCGTATACGAGGGTATAACATTTATTAATTACTAATTTTCTCTTGTCGGAGAAAAGTAAACGACATCGCAAAGACGTATATTGTGCAACATTGGGAATGTAATTTGCATTGATATGATTTACTATGCGTTTATGGAATAAAGAACCGAATTTTACGAAAGCAGACTCTATACTGTGGATGAAGAACCTAACAAGTTCGCCATAGAGGCCTTTTTTACCCTGAGATAGGAAAGATATGGCGTTAGGAACGTATTTTATCAATGCTGCAAAATAGCGCTATTCTCAAACAAATATATTGTTACAAAATGCTCAGATGCGGTAACAGAGTATCAACGCAAAGCAGTGTTAGGGTTGTCAGAAAGTGGCAAGAAAAATGCAGGGTTGCCAGATTTGAGCGGAATCTCTCATTTGGTGAAGAAATAATTCATAGAAATAACGTTCATGAATCCCAAATGCCTGAATAGAGATGGAAGAAAGTGAAAATGTGTCTGTTTAAGTTGGTAGAAACTGCTAGTAAAGTTACGAAGTCGCAGTTAGAAAGTACTGAGCCATCTGAAAACTCATGTGATGCAGAGATGGGAGAAGCTGATGTACAGTTTAAGCAGAGTGTCGTAGTATTACAAGAAGATACACCTACTTCTCAAACAAAGTGTATGTCTCATAATACAAGTTGTGCAGACACAAACTTATTCTTAACCACGATACTTGTGTTTGTAAAGAATCGGATTCTATTCATAACTCTAGTGCAAACAGGCTCTAGTACAAACATCTTGAAGGCGGTTAAAAGCTATAAATACCCTACTTGTAAGCGGAATTGCAGTGTATAGTGTAGAGTATCTTGTATAGTATGTCGAATTCAGTAGTAGTGTTTTGAGTTGAGTGATTAGCTTGAGAGCGACCGAACAAGTCGAAAGTTGTACTTTAGTGCTTTGCCGCGAAGCTGTCTTCATCGTTATAGAGAATATTCTCGAGGAAAACCGCTAAGAATGCGTTCTAGAATGTTGTAGCTCCATCTATGACGTATCGCCAAATATCGGCAAATCGGCGATTTTGCGCCAAATCTGGCACCTCTGCATTTCTTTGCCACTTTCTGAAAACACAAGTACCGCTTTGCGTGGAAACTATCTTACAGCAGCTGGTCATTTCGTAACAGTATATATATATATACTATTATGTGTTATGTCCTTAAATATTTAAGTCACGTAAGAGAAAACCTTGTCACTTTTTCAAAATTGAGACGAATGGCATTTCTTTTTAAATTTATGGTAAAGTTATGTTTTCCAGATTGAAACAGGTATTATAGTTAAATATTTCATTTTTCAATGCAGTTTCTTACTAATTTGAAAACCGCAAATGATACTACCTCTTTAATCTCTCAACTATAATTAACGTGTGTAAATTTACTGTAATTGTAAAGTTTATTTAGCATTTCAGGCATTTAATTTTGCTTGGAATATTTATCTTAACCATATTTATAAGTGCATACATCTTTTGAATACTCTGGAGCTAGCTCCTACTCTAATGCTGTAACATTTATGTCAAAGTTTTTTTAACGAAATATTATTTAATTGTCTTTCCTTTTCGCCATGAGTTTCACTTATTCCAGAATTTATGTAAATTGTAATGAGAAGTAGTTTTAATATAAAGTCAGAGGAATTACAAATAGCTGTGTCTAAGAGTTTTTGCCTGTTAGTCTCATCTTCTCTGACGAATAAAATTTTGTGCTGTTGGCGATTTCCAGGTAAGTCTCGAATTGAAGATTATAGAATAAGAATATATTCGGATTTAATAAGATGGACGCTTGATTTTTTGTCGTGGTCTAGACAAAGCTTGTAGCTTCTAATAGGGTTAGGTTAAATTGTTGAATTTATAGATATCGCGGACGAAGCCTGAGTTTTAAGCCTGGTACAGATTGTTGGTACTTTCTATTTGTATACTTTAATTTAATCCTTCAGAAATTGTGAGGTAGTATAAAGTGATTTCTGTGATTGGTTGTTTATATTTAGAAACTCTGGTGGCGGTTATTAATCTCCCAGAACACAAGTAACACCTTATTTTTATTGTAATTATGCTAGCTAATTTTATTTAAAATCCAGGAGAGATGTTTTTTGACTCAATAACACGAATAGCTGGTGCCAGCGCTTTGTGGAATACGTGGAAATGATATTGCAGATTTTCTCATTAAAAACACACACACACACAAATTTATGTTCCAGAAAGCCATAAATTTTATGAATTGATAAATATGGATTATCAAGATTAATGATTCAAATTTATGCCCAGAAACTAGTGAAAAGACACTGAAAATATCTCCTAGCGAAGGGCTATAATAGCCCTAATTTTACTCATGCTGCCGCTATGGCATCCTTCCTTCTTTTGAGTCGACAGGATTGCTTCAATGCTCCTCTCTTTTAGATTAGACGCAGGGATTCTCCAATCAATTTCGCCTGGCAATTCTGAACAACCTACAGGCAAAGACTATTTAAACACATTCGCTGCACTTAGTAGTTAAAAGAATAAGGAAATAAGAAAACTAATGGCCTAAGTGCCCAAAATCAGGTATTTGTAAATAAATAAATTTATTTATTTTGATTATGACAAAGCAAAGCACTCGAGAGATGTCTGATTAATGGCAGGGATGCCATTGTGAAGGAGTTTTAAGGAAAATCGGCTCGTGTACAGGTGGACAAAATCATGAAAACGTCCCTTGCAGCCATTCGCAGGGATTTGAACCTCGGAATAAATTACCAGCGTTCAGCGACTTTACCGTTCAGCCGCTAGTGAGCTGTAAATAAATAAATAATAACTTATTCTGACTGTTTTTATTATGAACAATAAATCGCTTTTAAGATAAATAACGTTAGTTTATAAATTTCTGCTAAAAGCTTTACAGAAAAGAAATTGAGAAACTGTTATAGAGGGGTAACTTAAGATCCTGAAAGGTATTTCTCCCGCCTTCTTAGCATGCCTTTCGTGGTGTAATGGTCAGCACGCTCGGTGCGTATTCGAGATGTCCGAGATTCTAGTCCCGGCGAGGGCACTGCTCATTTTTCAAGTCTCCTGCTTCAAAACAATCCTAATGTCTCTACAACCCTTTATAGTATTTGGAATCAAAATTTGAAGAAAGAATATGACAAGGAACAGAGACGCTCAAGGAGAATTTTCGTAATTATATCTTAATTTTTGCTTCTGTTATTCACAGTAGTATAAATAGGAAATTTGTGTTAAAATTTCATTTTAAATTTCTTGCTTTAAAACCTTTTGAAGGCATCTTAGTCCTGTTGTTTAAATATAAAAGAAATATATTTAAATATAAAAAAGAGTCAAGATTTAAATATGCAAGTCTATGTGTTTTAAGATATTTTTGAAGATTATTTTCTTTATTTTTGCTCCGCGTTGTAAAGATATAAGCATATAAAAATTTTATTGTGTTATAAAGTATAAAAAATCAACATTAGATACCGTTAAGTGTTGTTTCCATTAAAATAACTAATTAACCACAATAATAGTCCTCTGCTTACTTAATGCATATCATTAAATTTCATGAAACCAGCAGATGTTTTAATATAGTTTGGAAAATAGCAAATATTGATGTATCTTGTATATAAATTAATACAATTTTTAAGACTTTTTAAGTGTATCAATGCGTAAATCACACAACTATTTAACACATCGTGAATTCAAAAGACTAGATTTTATTTTTCTGAAGGAATTCTCCCCTATACATAGATACTATTAAATACTTTATACATTTTAATACAAGCATAATACATCTTTCTTCAAAATTGTACAGGATAAAAGGAAATATATGACAAAAGATGCTTAACTCTCAGTCTCCGTTATAATCTGTTTGTCATTTGATCTAACATTCAGTCCAGCGCTTTTCATATCAGAATTAAAATTTATCGCATTGAGAAGATCGATTATACAAAACCTTTGAATTATCCTCAGTTGATGAGCCATTATCACTGGTTTTTTCTGCGTCTTCTAGTGCTTCTTCAGAAGAAGCAGATGGGTCAACTTGCCAAATGCTTCCTCCTTGTTTTCTGAATATGAATCCTTCCAAAACTTCGTAAGGTACTTGGAATATTAAGTAACAGATAAATGACAAAATGAAGCTTGTTACAGCGTACGATAAGAAAGACATCATCTAAAGTTTAAAAAAAAAAGAAGCTAATTAAAAAGGCTGTAAATATAATTTTTATTTTCAGTGTAAATGACAGTCACATAGCATTGCTATTATAAAATGAGATAGATAATTTATATGACACAAATACACGACTGATTTCGAAAATCCGGTCCTGTCAGTATGCACACAGATGCTATAGTCTGTTATTTTAGAATAGTCACTTCAAGGCCATTTCGTTCTTAATTATGCCTGATATCCATAGTAGCGACTGTTGAAGAAAGAAGCTCGAATCCTCTGATTTGTTAAAATCTCCTCTGTGAAATGAAGAAGAAAATGAGACGAGGACCAATATGAGCTTGAAGTTCCTATTTTAAAGTAACAGACAATAGCTTCTCGCACTCATTTCATTGTTGAGACTTCTATAATCTGTACCCAGTATCAGTACAAAAGTAACGAAGGCATGCGAAGGAGATCAGTGCATTCTCTTGAGCAAAGAATCGCAATAGTGGTCGTTCATAACTGGTAAACAGGCCAGTTGTCTTGCGCCTTTTTATTTGGTATAAATTAGGTAAAATGTTCATTGTTAATTAAGGTGTTAAAATTATGATAAATCTTAAATTGCTGTAGATTTTAAAGAAGAATCTATCGCTTTCGTAGACGAGCTGATATAAATTACCTTTCTTCAGGATCAAAGCAATTTTGTAAAGGAACACTGACAGTTTAATTCTAATTTCGATTGTAGTTGAAAAATGCGCCAGCTAAAGATGTATTTTCGCGTTATTCCCGAATGTAATGTAAATATTAGACAGACTGAAGTTTTTTTATGTTTGTAGGGTTTTCTGTCAATTTACCCAGTTATGTTGTGTTTTCAAGTATTTTCATTTATGTAGGTTCGTGAACTCTCTCCAAGATGCAAATTAGTTAATTTGCTATATAAATGCAGATGGTTTTTAGTTTAACAGAGGGTTTTTTTTGGCAGCCTTGCTAATCGATCGCTCTGTTTATGTTTTCCAATCACTAAATTGACTTGTGAGCTTTAAATTCATAACCCCATTTCCTTCGTTGAACGTATAACTGCCAGAGCCAAACGTAGTGCATGTTACTTTGTATTTCATATTTTCATTTGACTGGAACGTTTGTTCCATTTTTCTAGCAAGCAGAGCAGATTAATGTATGTTTCTTTGTTGGTCTGTATATCCCTCAGGTTACGTATTAATAAATAGGATTATTTTAAGCCCGAGTTTATATTTTAGCAGAAATTAAGATGGAGTGTTAAGTCGTTTGTCTGTCTTTACAGTTCTAGGAGTTTGCATTTAGAGTAGTGTAGCGCAGTGTTCCTTGGAAAGTCATCCATAACGGGAAACGTTTTATGAGAAAGATTTGTGCTAATTGTATAAAGAGAGTTTAATATAAAACTATACTAATCGTTGAATTTTTGAATAATTTTAGAGCTGCATATTCTAGCTCAAAATGGAATTTGAAGATACCAATGCTCAGGAGAGCAAGAACGGCTGAAAACAAAGAGAATTTATAGCTGTATATGGCTTTCGGTTTTCAATTGTATAAATGCTTTATATTATGCCGATATGTACTGTAAATACAGGCCCGTTTTCTACTGAGCATCATTTACAAAGGCTGTGCCGTTGGCGATAGCTCTAAAATGATCTTCCTCAACCAAATGTTTAAGAGATATCACATTTAGTCGCAGTTAAGGAAAACACCCCCGCTAACGTAAAAATAAAATTTAGGAACATTTGGAAGACGGTCAAAAATATCTAACAGTTTCTTGATATCTCTGTTAGAAGCCAAATTTCAAGTTTTCTAATACTCAGGTTATACAGCAAGCTTGGAATGTTAACATCCCCTCTTATTTCATGTATATGGATATTTGGCCTCGAAAATGAGCCATTGCACTCCAACCTCATATTCTACAAGGACATCGGAGGGTTAGGCCTAATTCATTTGCCCTCATATTTTATAAAGGACATCTGATCAAAGAAATACAGTTAGTTTCAATATTCACTGAAATTACTTAACGAGAATCGAATCTAAGGGTTTTTCTTTTTTTCTACTTTTGCTTAGCGTCAGCCTTTTCAAAACTTTTTTAACCTTTTGATGTTTAAGATGAATATCGGTTAAATGTTTGATTTATTCCTGTTTTCGAAGATCGTCTGTCTTTCAAAATGACCCTAATTGCTGCCATTTAGTGATTTTATCCACACTGCGTTTTGATAAAAGAAATAAAATCTCCCTTTCTCTCTTTTTTCCAGTTGAGTTGAGTTGAGTAAAATTTAGAGAAATATATCCGTAATGCGCGTCAAGATTTATATCAATAATAGAATCACAAAATCACAATGGCAATAGTGATAAGATTGCCAGATTCACATAAAAGTCACAGATATGGTAGATTGCAATTTTTAGGAACGACAGCTAAATAATATTAGAATGTATTTAACATATATTTTTCAAAGGAGAATTCCGTAGGATAGTTAAGCGTCATTACTTTCATAAATGATTTTGTAGATGCAATCAAAATTTTCCTTACTAAAATTTTCAAGGCTGTTAAGCAAATATGAGAAGACAAAAGGACGAAAAAAAATTAAGAACAAATGAAGGAATAACAGAAATATATGAGAAATGAAAAACAGGAAAAATATCCTGAAGTATACCTACAATGGGGCTGTTAAGAATTTCTTGAGATTTTATGTAATTAATTCGAAGAAAAATGTTATAAGTATAATTCAAAATAAGTAAATTTAATTAAACAAAAAAATGTAAATTTCATAAAATTAAAATCATATTTCATATACCGAAATATTATGAGGAATTTATTAAAGCAGATTACGATACTTCGAAGATTTCTTTGTAAATTTGTGATTATAAAGTACTAAATAACGTTTTTCTCGTTAAAGTAAATAAAAAAAAACCATAAATGAAATTTAAAGTTAACTGCTAAGACCATAAATTAAAATTTAATAATGAATTTTTTATTTCAGATTATCGCCTAAGAAATAAATAGCAAAATATCTTGTAAAATTTTATTAAAAGTTAATCCTTTCTAACATTGAGACGAAGCCTTGGAAAAATGTATTGGAAAACCTTGGAAACACTTAGTAGAAAGCTTGAATTTCAATGGAATTCATATTAAAATCTCGAAGTACTAAAAAGTATATAACAAAATATAAATACAGATCAAAAGAAAATTAATTATTGTTGATCCCATGGAAGAAAACCGACTTTTTAAGGGTAATCAGTATTTTTTCATAGAATCCGTAATAATTAAGGAATGATCACGTTTCATCTCCTTCGTATATTTTTACGAAATTGTTTCAAAATGCGAAAAATGCTACGAAATAAATTTTTGATTTAAATTAGAAATTTTCATGTACATTCCTTGAAAGAAATTTCCTGACTCTATCTAAATCGAAATATTTACAAATTTATCCGATATATTTACATTTAATAAGTATTATTTAAATTCTACATATTTACATTTATTATATATTTTAGTTTTACTCATTATATATGGTTCATGTATTTAACAGTTAAATTTATGTTTTCAGTATGCAAAGTATTTAGTTTCTGCATCTATGAAGCTATTGAAGAGGAACGTGAACTACATTGTCTTTCAGTAATCTTATAAAACGTCTTATCTAAGGTATTGTGAATTCAATTATCACAACAACGCGGATGAAAATAACGAAAGCATAAACGGATTCACACTTATATTACTATAGAATTAAAGCATTAAACTGGCTGATGTGATTACTAAAATTTCTAGCATTGGAATTCTTCATAAAAGTACACTGAAATTTAATTAACTACATTATTTTCTTAGTTGGAAAGTCATTTGGAAAAAATAACTAGTACACTATTGGCGCAATTTCATTCTAAATTTTATTCATCGGCCCACCAGCGACCAAGTCGCAGAATATCCATAATTTGACACCACATCCTGGAGGACTGGATCCAGGACAGGTTTCGCTGTTTCTCCTTATGTAACATAGATTCGACCTTGTGTCCCTAAAAAAACCTCTACGACGGCTTCCTTTCAGTATTACGTGAGAGTCATCATAATTCAAATGAAAAAAATAGTTCATTTATGGAAATTTTCAGATATCTTTACTAGAGTAATAGCAGATACCGGCTGATCAATTTCTTCTTTGGATGACAATGAAGCCCGCCCTGAAGCAAAGTTCACTCCTAACCAGAACCGAGAACATACTAACGATTATTGATGAATGTCTTTTTCTTACTATCTGCTTCAATACCGTACGATTACTGTAGAATTTCCGCTTCTTATCAACAAACCCAGTTCATTTCAGGAAAACTTCTTCTTAGAAAAGATGTATACGTTTCCAAGTGCCATGCTTTTTTTCCCCTTAATGGATTAATGAAGACCGACCTGTCGAGCTTCTTAACATTCCCTAGTATTACTAAAGTCATGATACAATGAAAATGTGTGCACTTACTGACTATGAGCTATGAGATCTATCGTACAGTTTGTTGTGGATATGATTCTTTTAATGCATTTAAATAAAAAAAAATAAAAGCAAAGCCACGAGTTTCTTTTTCACCAATATCAAATCTCATGAGCAGAATTTCGCAAACCAACGGCAAATGAATGTCTCATTTGGTTTCCCCCACTGAGTGCTTTATTAATGATTTTAAATCTAGCTGCCACAAAAGTTTCAAACTTGAAAAGTAAAGGTATAGAAATCTTAAGTGGCTGCCTTCCATGAATGATTTAATTTGATAGTATTCGATGTTTAACTAGTACATTGAAAAAAAAAAAAAAAAAAAAAAAAAAGCAAATATTACAGCTACATCCCCCATGTATGACGTTATGATATGATATAAAAAATTTCCATTAACTTCAACGCTTGCTTTCTTTCACATTGATGTCGTACAACGGCCATTTCCATCGTAAAAACCCAATATATAAACTGACAAGAAATAATTAGCTATGCAGTCTAGTATAAAAAAGGAACATTTCGATCATGTATGCTCTCTAAGAAATG